GAAAATACATAATACGCCCCCCCACCCTTTAAATCTGTAATCAGACTATTGTGTTGGAGAATAAAGGGTAAGTCATCTCATGCATCACTGTACTTTCAATAAAAATAAGTCTAGTTGGGGTTTCTCTCAAATTGCAGAATCATTTTGGTCCCTGATGAGTGATTGGGGGGTGGGGGGGGGGGTGTGAGCTGACAGTGATGGTTAAGTGTTGCACTCAGTTTTGAACAATTCACCAACAATGTTTGCAGCAAAGCACCTCCCACACCATTACACCCCCTCATCAGCCTCACACACACAGATACTTTCTATTCTTGTTTGCTTTATTCGTGGTGTGTTTGAGTTGTTTGTCCCTCACTACGGTGGAACGGGTTGTTGAAGCTGTTCGTCCTCTAATGACAGCACCGATAGCTTCAACTCTGCGTGAAACAGGAGGCAACAAACTACAGAACACCAGTAAAATCAGTGCCACTCGGCTGATTCTGCCATGCAGGCCTGCTATTCTGTAAACTCGCACTAAAATTACACGGAGCTCGTTTTATTTGGTCTTTAAGATTTAACCAATGTGGAACAGCGATGGCTTAATGAGAACATCTTATTTTGGTACTGATGTGACGCAACCACTGAGCACAAAAGTGCAACAAAAACAACAAGCAGCCTGAAAATCATGTTTGAACATCCAGAATTTGGACTGGATGTTTCCTGGTCAGACGTCCCTGGATCTGCTGACCCAGGTTTAACCCACAGGGATCACTGAGTTTCTTTCATTTACCTCTCTATTAAAGTAGACATGTCCCGCTTTTAAACCTGCATTTAAATCATTCAGTTGGGGGTCTATTTAAAGTGAAACAGAATATGAAGTTATCTAAACAGAACCAGGAGAGAGTAAATAGAAACAAGTGCTCAACAAAATGCATTTAATGGATACAAAAGTGGATTTTGCACAATATGTCCCCTTTAAACAGCTGATTCTGAAATAAATCTTGAATAAAAATAGACTGAATGCTTTAAGCAGCCGTTCTGAAGAACTAAAGTTCTTCCAACTTTCTGACTTAACCAACTTTTATGTCTTGAGTAAATGATTTGTCTTTATTTAGTTGAGTTCCTCGTAATTGCCTTGGCCTACTTGCTAAATGTTGATGGCTACGTGACGAGTTCAGTTAATAACCTCTGACAAGACAAACATTTTTATTGATAACCACTTCAGGTTCAGGCTGGTCATAAACTCTAAATGCTTTTATTTTACTTTTTTTAATTATGTCATCTGAGCTGTTTCCTACAGCAGGGTGATTAATGCTCCAGCAGCTGCATACCTAATGAGTTTACAAAATGTTGCAGCTACAGTACCACCTGGAGATGTACCTTCCTGAACAGACAACGATACATCTTTCTGGTGGATTTCTTTGCTAGAATTTGGGTGGCAAGTTAAAAAACTTTCGTTTAGTTTATTGTCTCAACAACAAATCAACCTAAAGTACTTTGCATAAAACATAAAAGGAATCAAAAGCTCCTCCAAATCCGAGGCCATGGTCTTGAGCCGGAAAAGGGTAGAGTGTCTTCTCCGGGTCAGGGGGATCGCCCTGTCTCAAGTGGAGGAGTTTAAGTATCTGGGGATCTTGTTCACGAATGGGGGAAGAACGGAGCGGGAGATCGACAGGCGGATTGGCGCAGCGTCTGCTGTAAAGCGGGCGCTGTACCGGTCCGTCGTGGTGAAGAGAGAGCTGAGTCAGAAAGCGAAGCTCTCGATTTACCGGTCGATCTACGTCCCTACCCTCATCTATGGTCATGAGCTTTGGGTCATGACCGAAAGAACGAGGTCTCGGATACAAGCGGCCGAAATGAGTTTCCTCCGCAGGGTGGCTGGACTCTCCCTTAGAGATAGGGTGAGAAGCTCGGTCATCCGGGAGGGACTCAGAGTAGAGCCGCTGCTCCTCCACGTCGAGAGGAGCCAGTTGAGGTGGCTCGGGCATCTGGTAAGGATGCCTCCTGGACGCCTCCCTGGTGAGGTGTTCCGGGAACGTCCCACCGGGAGGAGACCCCGAGGAAGACCCAGGACACGCTGGAGGGACTATGTCTCTCTGCTGGCCTGGGAACGCCTTGGAGTTCCCCCGGAGGAGCTGGTAGAAGTGGCTGGGGAGAGGGAGGTCTGGGCCTCTCTTCTGAAACGGCTGCCCCCGCGACCCGACCCCGGATAGGCGGAAGAAAATGGATGGATGGATGGAATCAAATGCAGGAAAATGAAAAATTTGTTCATTTTTCTTCAAAGGTTTCTTTTGAAATGAGGTGTTTGTTCTGATTCGATCAAAATAGTACAATAAGTGTTTTAGATTAAAAAAAGTAGAGTCAGCAAAGTCATTTTCTATGAATAAACCCCAAACCCCATCTAATCAAAACCAGAAGCTTTCAAACATCCGAACAGCCTCATGTTTTCTGGGAACTGGTACAAATAAAAAAAATAAGGTTCATGAAAACGGAATGCTGCTTCTCACTGTTTAATTTCCCATCTGCTGGCATTAAACAGACCTGATCCAGACCACCTGAAATGTTGTTAGAGATGCACGCTGGCCCTGAACCATTTAAAGACACACATGAGAATTCGATACGATACGACACAGTAAGTGATTTGACCCCATTTCTTGCCTCTACCGACAACTCGGTTGTGTTTCATAGTTGCTACAATTGTGACCTGTTAAGACCTGTCAAAACACCACACTCTTCTAAATCCTGCCCGTAATTTTAGAGTCATTCTTTAGGTGAAGATAGGCCAGTTTTGTAATTGGTGTGAGCCTGGCTCGGTCTGTAATCACCAATAAGTGTAAAATGTTTGTGAAACCCTGCATCATGAGATTAGATGCAGCTGTGCAGTGTTTTTGGCATCTGATCACCTTTAAAATTCATGCGTATGGTTCTCGAATAAGACTTCTTTTCATGGCCTCACTAATATCTAAAGCACTGCTCCCACACAAACTCCCTGCTTTACTTAGCTTTTAGTCTGAATGCATCTTCCAAGTGTAAAAAGCACATATCAACCTCGTGAGTGTCAATCAGAAACACACACAAAAAACTGTTTTTATTCCCCCACTGAGTGTTACATTGGGGCTTTACAAGAACTCAAGACCCTCTGGGCTGTTTTTGGCTGAAATACGTTCACTGCAGAGCTGCTGCAGAGAACCTGATGATGACAGAAGAAAGACCTTAAGCAAAAAAATAAAAGCAATAAAACTATTTTACATTTAACAAATCCTTTTTGGGGCCAAATAAATGTTAAAGTAGGGGTATTATGTATTTTCCAGACATATAGTTCAATTCTGTACCACATCATGTAACTACGTTACCTTCAGTTGTTATAAAAAACACTGTATATATGAAAAATAAATATGACTTTGCATCATAGCCATCTAAACGCCTTAAAATTAAGAACCTCCTACCATTTCAGACACTCCCACTTCAGCAACAACGCTTCAGGGGAGGGGTGATTTGTTTTGTGAGGGCTCAGCTGCAGACTGAGCTTCAGGGTGGAGCTTTGTATAAATAGGCGGAGCTTAGGCAGCTCCACATGGCCACAGGAGATTCAAGGATTTCTCGAACATGCATGAATGAGTGAAAGCAACACTCTGGGTATGTTTTTGATCAGAGAATGACATCATAACATGTTATAAATTTGATTTTGGATAACACGCCCCCTTTGAGGAGGGGTAGATTTGGCCCACAGGCCTTGAGTTTTTATTCTTTATAAAGGAACTTTATGTTTATTGCTTAAATGTTTTTAAAAAATCACCAAAACCAGTCCATCTGAACAACTACAGGAAAAAAAATACAGAAACAAAACACACAATCTTTATATTCCTGTCAGTGTCAAAAAGACAAGGCATACTGTAGACTGAAAAAAAGTGTAGGTAGAAGCCTAAGCTTTTTACACCTTCACTTTTTATTTATACATTATCAAAATCAAATCAACATCATTTTTTATAGATTTTATAAAATAAAATTTCCAATGAAATTCTAAACAAATTTGTAACAAAACTCTAGCAGCTGCAAAC